TTTTGTGTTCAACTTTTGAGTTCAACTCACGCAGGGTTGCACGAAAAAAAAGTTGAATGGCTAAATGTTGGCTGGCGACCAACTTTGTTGAAAGGCCGTTCAAGCAAAATTTGAATGCAAAGTTGAACAATGCAAACGCCTTTTTATGGCGAATATTTTGATATTTTTTTATATTTTGATATTTTTAGCAATTCAATTTTTTTTTCGTGCAACCCTGCGTGAGTTGAAGGCAAAAGTTACCTGAAAAATCGCCTCGTGCGAAAGCCCTATAAATAATACATACATATCGCACCCTAAATCAAAAATAGTCACAACTCAAAAAATCCCCAATTGTTCAGGAGAAGCAAAAAACTGTTGATGGTGCGCAAGCGGCGCAGGCAAAACAAAAGCAGTTTTTAAAGTATGGTGATGAGGAAAAAATTTTGGTGAACGTTAGATATGTATATGGTCTGTAAACTGTTTTATGGAAAAAAATAAATTTTGAAACATTTTGAGCTGTGACGGTTTTTGATTTAAGGTGCGATATATTTAAAGCGATAATTTAGACCTTTTACCTGTTTTATTACACAAATACTCCTGTGTTTATCGTCTCGATCATTCACTGATATACATTATTGATAATATAGACTTAAAAAACAAAAAAAAAAACACAATATGGGTTTTCATCAAAACAGGGCCTGCAGATAAGTACGTAATTTTCTTAAAAAATTGGTAAATTTCCACTCGTTATTGGCGAAACATATGCATGTATATGCAAGAAGCCAACAAATAGTATATAGTAAAGAAAACTCAACACACTTTTAAAGAGATGGAGCACTGATCATGTGCCATTAGTTTAATAGCAGGTCTTTTAGATAATTTGATGATTTGTTAACGGGATCCCCATTTTGTTTTTTTTTTTTCATTCTAATGTGATATGCGTACATGCATGCTTTTAATTTATGTGTCAATGTCATATAAAATTGATCATCTTTCCTACTTGCATATACCCAAATCTATTTATTTGATTCGACATCACCAGTGTTTGTTTTTAAATGCTCTTTTAAGTTATTTCGAAATCTCGGTTTTATATTGCTTTTTTGTATTCTTTTTTTTGTTTTTTTGGTAACAAACTAGTTGTATTATATTTTTGCATTTTTTTCAAAATGCGGTAATTTCTTATAAATCGAGTTTTTTTTTAATTCACTACTATTTGGCTTCAAATATAACTTTCATTTCATTTATTTTTAGACATTAGTTTCACAAACATGCATTTACATTCATTTTACTTTGATTTAGGAGGAGCAATTTGTCTATATAGGCATGTATACACATTCATTCCTTTTTTGAAGTTAGGTGTTATTTTAACTTTATTCGTTGTATTCGAAAATTTTGTTGTCTTGAATTACTTCTAAATATGAATGTTTGATTTTATAAATGTAGATTATTGCGATTAGCTTGAATGCAGGCATTAAATGATTTTAAACTAATTCAAAATAAATGAAATTGTTAAAACTACTCTTATCGCTCGCTAGATTTGATGATGTTGCCCATGCAAATCAAATTGCTGGTGAAACCGGCTGTTAGAGTAAAAAGTTGCTATGTCCACTTTTTCTAAAAAAATATATTTTATTGCAAGAAGCAAGAACCTTTTTTGCAAGTTTTTTTTTTTTAAATTTACTATTCGGATTTGCTAAACTACAAATCTGCATACTCAGAAAATTTCCAGAAAATCTGATTAAAAAGTTGAAAATTTTCATGAAAATTTGCTGAATTTTCGCGCGTTTTGCTCAAAGTTTAGGAATTGTATTTTTATATTTTTTGTTGTAGAATGAACCATATTTTTGTACGAAGTTAGCGGAAAAATATTAGAATCAAAATTGTGAAAAATTTGCTGTGCCAATACTTTGTTCCGGCAGTGTACATAATTTATAGAAAAACTATATCGAGAGCTCAATTTTCACAAAAACTACTTTGTGTTGTTAAAAACCATCTGGGACTTACCTGTCATCACTGATGTTAATTCTGACTTTGAAATTTAATAGTATATTCTTCTGTCAAGAGTCATACAAGATCAGCATTAATATTACCGATGACAGTTAAGTATTAGGTAGATTTTATATCAGAAATCTCAGTTTTGTTAAAAGTGCAAATAGAGGGTATTGAATATAAGCTCTCGATATTCAGTAATAAAAGTAATATCAACTTGACTGGTTCTCCTAATGATAGTTTATTGCACCGGATTTCGTCTGTCTAAAAACTAAGAACTATTGCAGAGGTTTTATGTATTAACAAAATTATGTACACTGTATGGCAGCGCTGGGTAAATGCAATTACATTACAATTACAATTACATTCCTCAGTAATTGTAATTAGGATTCAATTCCTTCAGTTCACAGCAAATGAATCGATTGCTTTTTCAATTCCTTGAAGTAATTTCAAATGGAATTGTTTTTTTCTTTAATTACATTACAAGGAATTTCATATTGTAATTAGAATAAATTACGTGCTAGTAATGTAATTTTTTTTTTAAATTCCTTTGAAAGGAATTGAAAATGTAATTGATTTTTTTCGAATTCAATTCCTCAAAGTAATTTAAAAAGTAATCGAAAAATTTATAAAAAGAAAAATATTACTGTTGAATTGAAGTAGCTTTGTTAAATTTCTTGGTTGGTTGCTAACTGCCTTGAATAAATAACTTATACCTAAGTAGTATTACTAATTGGACTTTAAGGAAACTGAATAACTTAAACAGTAGCTGTTCAGTTTATATGGTAACGGTTAAATTTTCCAGATCTTACCGCGAACGCGCTTCGCGGCAGATCAAACCCATAGATGTCGAAGCAGGCATAACCCGCTTGGACTGTTGCTGCCTTGGGCACTGCTGTTCTCTTGGACTAACCCATGCGTATATTATGGTACCCTTAATTCTTACCAAAATGGCGTGCATCCTGGGGCCTTTGAAGTACTCTTACTGGTATCCCTCTTACCTCTACTGCGTTACAAATTGACGAGCTAAACATGTTAAATGGGCTTGAACCAGTTAAGTGAACGAAACATGTTCATAAACAAGTTAAATCGCATGCAATTGTTGTTGAAAATTGAACCAGTTAAATCATTTAACTCGTTTGAAAACCAGTTCAATGCAGAGTTGTATCGGAAAGTTTCTGCTCCGGCCAATCAGAAAGACCCAAAAGCTTTCATTTGACATCTCAACATTCAAAAAATTTATATTCTGAAAAATATTAAAAATTTAAAATTATCAAAAAATATCAAAATTGTATGCATGTCTGCCCGCCAAAAAAGAGGCCAATGCGGTAATTAGTTATTTCCCATGAGGTCTCATCGTACGCAGAGATAAATAGTGCATACGAACTAAGCATTTTGAAGTCTCTAATTGATCCGTATGCGTTAATATCATGAAGCAGAAATTCGCACAAAACAAATTGAAACACAAAAACTTGATTTTGAATTATTTTTTTTTTCAAATGTTTATTGGTAACGAAATAACCGTCAAAGTTAACTCCAAATGTCCAATGTGGACGATTGCGTTTTCCAAAAAGCTCTTTTTCATTTAACAAGTTAAATGGGGCCAATTTGAACGTAATATAAGAGTTTTATAAACAAATTGCATTGCTATGGCTAAATTTTGATGATAACACTGTAACGACATAAAAAAAAACTCCGAGACACGTAAAATTAATTTTGAGTAGTATGTTTTGCCGTGGTTTTTGAAGAGCTTGTGCGCTGTTGTTGCAGTAAAATGAAGGTTTTTGATTTCTTAATCTACTGAAGGCAGAAAAACCGGGAAGGTTTATTAAAACGGGTCTGTTTTATATTGATTGTATCTGAATTTTTAAATCTTTATATATTTTTATGAGAAATTAATTTTTAAGCTACTAATATCTAAGTTAAACTTATTATATTTACTGTAAAATTTTCAGTACTCTCAATATCTTGAATTTTTAACTCTTAATATACTAATCTTATGGATTAACGGCTCCCAAATTCGGCCAAATCTAAATTTGATTCCAAATCAATATATTTTATAAAATGAGTTACAAGGAGTGGAAATTTAACTCCATAACTCTTAACTAATATATCTTTGTATAGATATTAGTATATTAATTCGCTAAATTTAACAGTGGACCCTTAATATTCACTTAACCTTAAATTAGTTTGAACATGTTATTACATAATGTTACAATTTCCAAATAGGTGGCAGCCCCCCTCAAAAATATTTCCAACGAGTTATCTTTCTTAAACCTCTTTATTTCATATCCATATTAGTAATATTTTATTTATTTTATCAATGTAATTTTGTGAAACTTTCAAACAGATGGCAAACCTTCCTCAAACATATTTTCGGCAGTAAGCCTTCTTAAAACTCTTTAGTTTGACACCCACATGGCAATATTTCATTTCTTTTGTCTATTTGACTCTTTAACTTGATACCCATATTGTAATATTTCAATAATTTTATCAATATAATTGGGTTTAAAAGTTTAAAATAGTTAGCAACACTCCAAATTTTTGCGATATCATTGGTTCTGGTATTATACCGAATAATATAAAAAAAAAAATATTCAAGCGGTTCACACGAGTTTGACGCGTGAATAACACCATTTTGATTGAATAAGATTATCCTTGTACATACCTCGAGTAATGAATCATTGAATTCACTCAAAACTATAAACGACTCAGATGACCAATGACCTAGAGTCCTGCACATTATATTGCAATTATTCAAAGCGTAATATTAATAATATAAAAATAATATATAGATATACATAGAAGATATCCAATGTGTGCTTTCGTTTTAACTTTGACCACAACAAAATTCCACATTGTACATTCGTGAATGAACTTTCACGTTCTCGATTACTTTTACAATTCCTTTGAGTAATTAAAAAGAACTAAAGTATCTTGCAATTCCAGGTAATGGAATTAAAAATAAATCAATTACATTTCGATTCCTTTCAAAGGAGTTGGAAAAAAAAGTTACATTACTAGCACGTAATTTATTCCAATTACAATATGAAATTCTTTGTAATGGAATAAAAAAAAAAACAATTACATTTGAAATTACTTTAAGGAATTGAGAAAGTACTCGATTCCTTTTCTGTGGACTGAAGGAATTGATTCCTAATTACAATTCCTTGTAATTTGTAATTGGTAGTAACTTTAATTCCTAAAGGATTCATTACGACCCAGCTCTGTGTATGAGTTAATCAATGGCAATCGTTGGCAAGCTAACAAGTAGAAAAGCAAAACTGAAGACAACAGATTCGATGTGTGCCAGTAAAGTTTGAAAAGCAAACAATACAAAAATATAGAACTATAAACCAGATTTGCTTATGCGCGCTTTTGTTCGCAAAATTTGTTGGACGTTTTCACATAAAAGTGTTTCATGGCGAATCAAAAGTGCCTTTAATTGAAATAAGTACTTCCAATAAATATTGTCCACAATACTAATATGCAGATTTGTATTCGATTTTCCTCTGAAAAATTTAGCCATCGTTAAAAATATGATCTTCTTAGTTGAGTTTTATATAGATACATGTATTTTTAAAATGCCACTTGTTCTGGTATTCATATTCAACCTACATACACGTCTTTCAAACAAAAAGATAATGCCCTAAAACCATTATTAATAACATAAATGTAATTACTACTTACATGCTCTTGTCCAAATTATTGTTGAGCATTTATAAGCGGATTTAAAGTTACCAATGTTCAAAATTAATAAACGGCAGAAGAATTGATGTAATACACAAATGTAGCGGGCAAAAACTAAAAACGAAAAAAGGAAATTCGTTAGTAAGAAAGAAAACAACAGGGTTAAACTATAACACATGCTAGAATAAATTAAAAACTTAGGTTCAAAATAACGATCATATTAAGTAGTTGGGAATAACACGGTACAACAAAAACAAACAAAAAAAAACAAAAACCCTAGGTTTGAAAAGTGTGGGTGTATTGGAGCTGTAATTAATGCGGCAGTGTTACTTTTTGTGAAAGAGTTCAAGTTCTACCCAAAAATTCGGGCAACTCTGCCTACAATACATACATCAAGCATTCGAGGAATAAAATTTTGACAATCAGTTGCTCATTATTGGCAAACCAAAAGCAGCATTTCACAGACCAATTTCTACCAAGCTTGGCACAGTTGTAACGGTTCAAATTTTTTATACTCGGACAAAAATCACGCCCACATGCCATATACCGGTAATTTATACACCCCATGAGTACATTAAAGCATCAAGGCAACACTTTTTTTCAACATAGTTACTTTAATCTTTGTTGTATGAAAATATTAACCCTTTAGATTTCCAAGAACGTAGTCTCCTCAAGTAGCCGTAAAACAGTATTATAGCAAGTAATTTTTAAGCAAAAAAAAAACCGACTTCAATTCTCATATAAAAATTTAAGATTATCGTTAATCTATTCATGATCTTATTGTGAATCGATAATAAAGCTATTTAACACCAAAATTAATTAATTTATTCCCGAAAAGTAATATTTTCGTTTTTACAGCTCAAAACATGATAAAAACATAGCAAGGTAGAACCGTTCTCTCAATTTGTCGGCCATGATTTTTTTTTGAAGTTTGCCAACATTTTAAACTCATATAAAAGTGAAAATAAAAAATAGAAATTGTTCGAAAGTTGCTTGAGATTGAAAACTGAAAATGTGTGTGTGAGTTTGTGAGTAAATTTAAAAATTAAATTGTTTGGAAATGTCAAGAATTTTAAAAGTGACTCTAGCGGTTCTACACATTTATCATGGCTCAAAATAATGAATGAAGAAAAAGTAAGGAAATTTTTGAAAAATCATTGAACAGTAAAATATAAAAGTAAAAGTGAATTATGTTTACGAAAAAACGTTCCTTTAAATCAAAGTGTTTCACCACAATCTAATGATCGGATTTAAACCAAATTAGAATGGGACCACCTGTGAGGTAACACCTTTCCTTTATAAACTTTCTCAGTATTAAGTGTTTGGCACTGAAGCTATTTAATAATATTGTTGTTGCCCATTTAAATCCAAATAACGTGTGTTACACTGTTTAAGGGAGAAATAAAAACACCTCTCCTGTAAAATTTGCCTTTTGTTGCTAACGATAAAATCTAATAAAAGGATCAATATTACGCCGTATTGATTTTGAGGAGAATTTCGAATATGGGACTCGTAGGAAAACAAAGATAATATCAATATAATAAAACAGGTAATTTTAAGCAAAAAACAAAACCGACTTCAATTCTCATATAAAAATTTAAGATTATCGTTAATTTCTTCATGATCCAATGACCGGACACACCTGTGAGGTTAACACCTTTCCGTTAAAAAAAAATAACTATTGTGAAGTCGGTTAATAATCTCACATTGAAATTTTCGTTTTTAAATAATATTTCAAACATAAACATGCAAAGAGGTACAAGCAAATGAAATAGTTTTTAAACAATTTCCGATTATTATTATTTATATACATGAGTATGTATATATTATTTTTCCGATTATTATTGAGAGTTATTGTTTTTTGAGCAAATATTTAATTGGATCTTTATTATTGGACAAAGAATAGACGCAATTATCTAATAGTTTTCGTAGATTTTTATATTTTTATTGCATATTTCTCATATTACTACTGAGATAATTCACTTTTTATAATATTCATTATTTTAGTTGCATAAATTTTTCAATATAGCACTTAGCAAAACAACAAAAACTAAAATATATGTTTGAGTAATATAAGCAATGAGAAATCCGTAAACTTTTATATTTCAAACAATAAATGGTTTATTAATATTTTTGCCATCAACTTGAGTTTGCAAAAAAAAAAAATATATATATGCATATGTGCATACATACATATACATACGTATGGATATGTATATATTTAGATTGCTTTTCAACCAAAAATCATTATTGTAGGATTTCACATTTGCTTACTATTAGGTTATCTGTTTAAAAACCATTATTCTCCAGTGAATTTTATTGTTGTAAAGTATATAAAATCTAGGTGGGTGCGAAACCACCCCCTGTTATTTTTATGCAGCACATTTACAATACAGCTCTATAACATAGCTTTTTTAATCAAATTTATAGTATATATGACAATTGCAATATGCAAAAAAAATTTCTGTGCAAGCCTATCGGTTAGCCTCTCAAAATTTTGGAATTATATTACAATTTGCTACAACGGATAGAATGTGTTTTCAACAAATACTTCTCATTATTTTATATTCTTTCTTCATTATTTTAGATAAATTTGGAAAATGAGCGAAAACTCACTTGCAAAGGGTACACATACATAATACAGTTATTTCACAATTAGTTTGCGTACAAAATTGATTTTTACTTTATATTTTATTTACCTTAAGTACATACATATGACTATTGTCCTTGTTTTTTTAATTTAAGGTTAAGTGAAAATTCTTAGGTATGTATGTATATAAAACGAAGACATTTATAGTGTAGCAAATAGCTTTTATTTAGCTGTTTGGAGAAAGATTACTGATTGATTAATGTATCTATATGTGTATAAAGTGCTGTTTCTTCACAACATCATAGTTGAATTAGGCAAATTATTCTAAATATTTTTTTTAAGCTACATATACATTATATTACTTGTAGATAACGAAGACGTGAATGCTAACTTTTGAGAGATACACCCCTCATTTGCTTAGTTCTACGAGTGCATCAAAAAGGTAATGAAAAAGTGTATATGTATTTATTTTATAGAGCATAATCCTCTGTCATAGATCTTTTTAAAACTGGATTGTTACTTATGTGTCGCATTGGAAAATATACCGACATGACTACGGCTATACTTATTATATAATTAAAAACCAATGCATGTACAAATGACTGCATACTCAATACAGCTTTAAATATAGTTCCAATTCGTGTTTTACTTACAATATATGGTAAGAGAATACAAACAAACAAAAATTCGTTGAAAGAAAGTTGTTAAAAACGCATGATGTAATTTAGATTTTATGAAAAAGGTGCAAAAGAAAAGTTATATATATTATATGACTTTATGTGGGTCGATTATGCATGGCAATCGAACTTCAGTCGCGTTGCCAGCGGCTGAAATTGTATTACAGATGGAAAGTGAAAGCGGGCAACTGAGTCAGTATATTGGCAACTGCGTGTATTATTCTAGTTGCCGCGGAAATTTTGATTGAGGAAATGTATTTATTTTTTTTTTTAACTGTTTCTAAGTGTAAACTCAAATCTTGGTTACAAGTACCCCAAAATTCGATATTCTTCACTTAACTATAGTTGCTATTCATAATACAAATTTTTATTTTAGTGGCGTTGCCCAACTGAGGTGGCGTTGATATCCATAAACGACCCACTATTTTAATTAACGCTATTGATAAATTAGTAAAATAAAGTGCACTTTAAAACTGATAATTGGTTTTAACATTATTTTGATTTTGATTATGCCGTTGCAGTTTTGCTTATTTTTTTAAACTGAATACAATGCTCTTTATCTTCCAATCAAAAACATTTTCCGTAGCTGAGCAAAACTGATAAAACACTGAGATCGTTAAACTTAACCATATTTTCTAAGGAAATAGAATTTCATATAAAAATTATACAATCTGGTTTGGCTTGACCCAAAGTTGCAAATCAGTTGAAAATTAATAACTTTTTCGCCGAATTCGGAGAACGTTTATCAGCTTGAGAATTTCAACAATAAATATCATTAAAATGTGTGTATTACTAATTTTTTAAAAG